CAGAGAGAGAGAGAGAGAAAAGGAAATTGAGAAAGTAAACTTCCAGGTCTGGGACTTGAACCGTGGTCAGCCATGTGGGAGTCCAGTGCCTAAACCACCATGCCACCTGCTGGCCCTCTTAATAACCTTCTAAGCGAGAAGCACACCAGGCACTTCCAAACCTCTCTGCCTTGGCCTTTTCTGTTCTTTCTGCTTTGAATGTTCTTCTGCCCACCCCTCTTACTGCTTCTCCATCTTACTATCCTTCCAGGCTTAAGACACATACTACCACTTTTCTGAAATTTTCTGATTTTCCTCCTTCCAATAGACTTAAATATCCTATTTGCAAACTTCCACAGCACTTTACTCATGTTTTTAGTGTTATAATGGCCACATATTAAGCCGAGGTACGTGGTAAGCCTGATTCTAGATGGTTTTTGTATGCTAGTATGTAATTTTTACTATAAACCTGTAAGGAATTATTATAAACCCCATTTTACAATGAGGAAACCGAAGCTCTGAGAGTCGTACTTACAGTGATCACACAACTAGAAAGGCATGTGCCAGAATTCCCAATGTCTTCTGACAGCTCCCGACTCTACACGTTTTTCATTCTGCCATATTGCTTCTCTTAGATGGCCCTATTTCCAGTTAGTTAACTAATTACATATTTACCTGTCTCTCCCATGGGATTATGACAAGTGCCTTGGTGGCTGGGACCAGGGCATGTTCATCTTAATAAATGTGAATAATAATATAACCATTTACACAAGGTTCTCATGAAGCTCAAAGGAGACCAGACACATAATGCACTGGCAGTACCAGGCAGGTTAATGCCCAACAATCTGTTGGCTTTACTGTTGCTGTTACCATGTCAGCTGCCAAGAACAAAGCTTAGCACATAAATTCTGAGCTGGAGTTCCTTTCTGAGGTGCGAATGAAGTGGGTAAGGGGATCTGGTGGGAGAGACTAACGCAGCTCTGGTTTGGCACTGCCCACACGACTGGACTACTCAGTCAGAAGCACCAAAACTAAAGAAAGTCTCCAACAGGGTTCACTGGTTTATTTGCTTCCTACTACTATAAAAGCTCTTGCAGCTTTGTTACTTTCTGGCTGCATCTCCCATGCGATATACGAAGGTTCCTCCTAAGAAACCCGTACATAAGAAGTTCTCAGCTACAAGAAAAGGCAAAAGTAAATGGTTGGGGAGGGGAAAGCTGGCACAGTGGTGATGCAACTGGACCCACATGGAGAGGGTCCTAGATTCACATCCCAGGACCTCCCTGGGCACTCAGGGTAAGCAGGTGCCTGAGATGGGGCCCAGCCGCGACTGGGGTTGCACCGTGGCTTGGGACCCTATTGGAGTCGCCTGACTCTGTCTCTCTCCCACAGAAGAAATAAACTTTTAAAAAAATTTAAATGGAATCACAGCAGGCAGCATAAAATCTGAAATTCGGGTACTTAGAAATATAGTGAAACCCAGGACTAGCAGTTAGTGTAATGGCTATGTCGCTGGACTCCCATGTAGTCGACCACGGTTCGCATCCCAGACCCAGTGGCTTAAACTCACGCCAGGCGCATGTGCGTGCATGCCCAAGATCCCGAGAGGAGAATGGAGGAGAAGGGATTGCGGTGTGGCCATCCCCCCAGGAGGTGATTTCTCACTTTCTGTCTCTCTGTCTCTCTCTTTCTGTCGAGCACACGCGCCCTATAGTGAAAAACCTCTCCAAAAATAAATAAATAAGAAATATAGTGAAACCCTCTCTTTGGTCTTAGTAGCATTTAATAGTATTTTAAATCCACTATCTATTTACTTGTTTGTTTTTGTCAGTCATTGTCTTGTAGGAGATAAACTCTCTTAAAGGAAGCAATCAGTCTCCCCAGTCCAAACACTGCTGTGTCCTAGGACCTGACACATATGTGAGCCACAGTAGCCACTCATTCAATATTGGTTGACTCATCAACTGCAAATATTTTCATGTATGTACATACATATATATTTATATATATGACATCTTTCTACGATGTAGGGATAAATATGCATATCTCCCCACATCTTAATTCATCTTGTACATGTATTTACATCTATTTATATTTGTGCTCATGTTTCAGACTGTTTGCCAGAGCTGTGTCTCTTTAACATAATGCAGACTCTCACTGACCTGCTCAAGACTTAACAAATATACACTACTGCCCTAGAGGACAGTCAGTGCCTCAAGGACACATTCATGCCTCCCAGGTGCTTCAGGCTTCCTCCATCCCCTCCCCCAAGGGTATTTTTTCCTTTTTTCTCCGTCATCACAGGTGGCTGACTTTTGTCTCTCTAAGTTTCAGCTCTCAGACATAAAGATTGCTACACCTGCTCTTTGGCTGGCATTATAGCTAATAATAAGCAGAATCCATAGCAGTCTACGGCCACCAGGTATGACACCCAGAGATAACCACGAAATGGATCAAATGTTGCTCAGGACCTACAGATGTCCTGACCCAGGACTGCCTTGATAACCTGATGGTAACCCCCTCATCCTTTAAAGCCCAGTAAAAGCTTATAGCTCCTGACCTTCGGGGCCAAAGTAACTCTGTGCATCTGGTCCGTTCCTTCTCTTGGGTAGTGAATTAACCCTGTTCTTAGCTTACTTTCTGAGTCTGTGAATTCTTCCATGGCCTGCAGCACTGGTCACCCTAATTCTACCCAGATTTTAGAAACAATGGATTTTATTTAATGTGTGCAGAGTAAAAGACCATTTTTAAAATTTAAACGTGAAACTTTCCTTCTCTTTCAAAACTTATCCCTGTGTACTAGCTTTGGTGCGTGCAAGGGAGTGTGCACCGATAATGTTTCTGTTTTTAGCAGGTGAAACGTTTCAAATTTTTATTGGTTGGCCAGAGGTCATTTAAAGTGTAATAAATACAGGAAATCATAATTTATGAGAGTTACAAAATGACCATTTTCTGGGTACTAGACACTTAGCATCTTAAAAAAATAAATTAAAAAAAATAAGAAACAAAACGTAAAGTGACCTTATGAGGGAGATGTTATTATTCTCATTTTATAAATAAGGAAGCTAAGACTCAGAGATTGAGTAACTGGCCAAAGATACTCTACTATTATCTGGTGCCATAGCACAGTCAAGGTACAAATTTAGGATTCTACTCTGCAGCTCAAACCCTTGTGAGTAAGCAATGGTGCCTTTTACACAGCTTTACAGACACTCTCTTTGAGGGATGTGTGTTAAGGCTGTTTTTACAGCATATGGATTTTAATAAGGATTCTCCTCACATAGAGACCAGACCAAATGACAGCCAAACACAATGAAGATTGCTCCAGGCTCCAGACAGCAAGGAGCAAATGTGTCTCAGAAACTATCAGCTTGTTTCTCAGAATATGAAGCATTTTCCACTTGATTGTGTCTGCTCACAAGAAGTCTATTCTCTAACAGAGCTTCATTATTCCTTCTCCTTATTTAAAAAAAAAAAAAACTCTTTCATTACAAACTGATAGCAAGTTACTAACTCATTTCCCCATATTACTTGAAGTAAAAGTGCTTTTGGACTTGAGAATAGAATTGCTAGATGTCATTCTTTTTGCCTGTTTTTAAGTCCAAAAATCGATATTGTGAAGGGGAGAGAAAATGAACACTTCTATACTTTCAAGGGGGGGGTGGGGTATGTTTTAAACTAAACAGAGTTCTTTAAAGAAAGCCTTTGAAGGCAAATATTGGGGCCTTTCTCTGAAAGAATTGGCTATGTTACCTCTTTGCCCTTCTTTCCAGGAGCAGATCTGAGAAGGAAAATCATGTATTTTTAAAGTTTTTTGTTTGTTAATGTATAGATGCTTCTAAATATTTGTAAATAGTGGGCAGTGAAAAGTCTTTAAGCTGGTTCTTGCCTGCTCACCCAAGGATTGGAGAGCTCCTACGCAAAGGCAAGGAAGTCTTCCCACCAACCACTACAATCGCAGGAAGAGCCAGCTGCAGCATCTTCAGCCCCAGGGACTGAGGTGAAAGGGGCACCTCTGTGTCCCCTCTTCATGCTGTGGGAGATGGAGAGGAAGGGGAAGCCCTCTGCCTGCCCTCCAATCCAACAACACAACCTCTGCTGCCAGGAAATTATTTTTAGACACTTAGAGTACAATTTTCAGAGGGAAAACGGTGGGAGGGCAGCTACAACCTCTCAGAGACCCTCAGAGTGCTGATTTCCAACCAGGTTTGAGTTTCTTACTTGTTTGCTAATGCCAAATCCTTACCTAGAGTGGAGTACATCTGGCACTTTCCAAAGGTGTTCAGTAATCTAAGTCAAGAAATAGATCTGGGCGCTCCGAGCTGTAAGTGATGAAAATTCCAGCACCCCCACTTCAAAGGTAATGACCTTGGGCAAGTAACTCATCCGTCTAAAGAATGGTTTGTGGTTACTCAGATGAGATAGTAGTATCTATTATTAGAAAGTTATGGAGGGTCCGGTGTAAAAAATCTCACAGTGCCGGCTCTTGGTGGGACGTCAGCGGGTGCTCTGTTCCTGCTGTGGGCACACTGCGCAGACCTGCAGGATCCCGGCTTGGTGTCCACGTTTCACTGCCCAAGATCTGCCCATTGCTCCCTCACTGGTGACTGATGTTATCAACTGCTCACCTAACCTTGGGAAGATGCCTCTTCCCTGCTTCTAGTTCTCTAAATATCTGCAGAGCCCAAGAAATAAATTTGCCTTCAATGCCAGGGACTAAGTTATCCCGGTCCTCCTTCCCACCTCTTAACCGCACCTCGCTTAAATACAACTCAGGCTTGCAAGAAAAGCGAACAGCCTTCATATGCGCCAAGCAGGTGTCTGCACACCTTTGGGGGTAAAGGTTGAGGAAGAGACCCTGACTAGAGTCTCCGGGTTGGGAATGACACAAAGAGGGGGCCAGGGCAAGAGAGGCTGAAGGACCGGGCTGCCGCTGCTAGGTGGTCCCCGCCAGCGACCCCGTCCGCTGTGCACCGCGAGGGAAGGACGCCAGCGGGGAGGGGCTGCAAGGGCGGGAGTACCTGAAGTCTCGGGCCGCGGTCTGGTTTCTCCTCCACGCGGTGCCCTGTTGCAGCACTCCTTGCACGATTTCCTTTTCGTTGGGCAGCCGGTAGACGGGAAAGATGTAGAGCCAACAGAGGACCACGACACAGAGGGCACTGGCTCCCACGGGCAGCCGGGTTCGTGGGAACTTCCAGGCCAGTACGGCCATGGCCCCTCTGGACGTATGTCGCCGGGCCCACCCGCAGGGGCTCATCGTAGCCCCGGGGTCCTTGGGGGCGGGGGCCACAGCCTCAGCAGAACGCCAGGAGAAGTGGCAGCGGAGGGTGCCCCCACGGCCGGCCCCCCATGCACACACACCTTTCCCTTTCTTGCTTACACACGCACGCACGCTCCTTCGGCCCCCACGGCCCCAAAGGTCAGAGCAAGGATTTTAGAAAATGCAACTTTTCCGAGGATTTCTTCCTAGGGAAAGTGGCTGGAGGGCAAGTCACGAGCTATAGCCATGGTCGCTTCTGCAGAAGGCGGGCGCTGGGGTCTCCGAGAACGCGGAGAGCAGCGGCGAGGCGCTCCCCCC